ACCTGCCCCAGCAGGGCCAGCCGCTCCAGCTCCTGTCCCCCTGCCCCGGGACGCGGCCGCCCCTCACCCTGGGCCTGATCCTGAGTGCCCGTGAGCCCGTGCGCGACTGGGCCCTGGGATGTCGTGCGAGGGGCCTGGCGGGGTGGCTGCCGTCCTGCCGCTGGGAGCCCCCCACCATGGCACTGCGACCCTGCCCGTCCCTGTGGCGCCCGGGTGCCTCCCGAGCATGGCGTGGGGTGGGACTGGGCTCGTGGGGCGCGGGGCACTGGGCGGGACGGCAGCCAGGAGCTGCTCCCGTGGCCTGGCCTGTGCTCACCTGCTGCAGGTCTGCGGGCACCCACTTGCCGAGGCTGCTGTTGACGGGGTCAGGAACTCTGGGCCAGAACTGCTTCTTCATCCTGTGCCGCGGAGGAGAGACTCCATGAGGGCTGGGCCGCGCTGTGGGGTTGAGGTCTGGGGCCTGGGTCTAGTGCAGCCCCAGAGCCACGGGCCCTGGCGCTGCAAACCAGCCAGGGAGTCGCATGGTGCCCCATGGACCTACTCAGCTCCCAGCCACGCGCTGCCCTGCCAGAGCCCACAGCACCAAGCTTAGTGCAGGACGTGCCATTGCTGCACGTGCCTGGCCTGCACCGGGGCTGCGCAGCAGGGGACATGCAGCCCCCAGGCCACGTCGGAGCCCTGCACATCGGAGCCAGCCCCTCAGCAGAGACCAGCCCTGGCAGCGGCTGCTCTGAACCCTGGCTAGAGAGGCACCGCCTGCCCGGGGCCTGGCAGGCTTGGCAGGCACTCACCTCCCATTCTTTTGGAGGCAGACGGTGAATACAATGAGCAGGACAAAGATGAGGCTGAGGCACAGCAGAAGGAACTGGATCTCGGTGATGTCTGCAAGAGAGGCAGGGAGGAGGGTGATGGCCCAGTGCGGAGAAATTCCCCCGGTGCCAGCCGCTGGGGCTCCAGCTGCAGTGGGCCCAGCACCTCTGAAACCACTGCGAGCCGGGCTCGAATGGCCAAGCTGTCCCTAGCATGGGTGTGCACGCGCACGGGTGCATGAGTGTGAGTATGAGTCTGCACACATTTATGAGCATGTATGTGTGTGTGCGTGCAGGTCTGCACGCGTGCATGTGTGTGTGCATGGGTGTAGGCAGGTGCATGCACACTCGTGTGGAGGTCACCCCCTCCCCCTCCTTCCTTCCCTGCCTTCCAGACCCATGCCCAGCTGCAAGCAGGCAGAGCCCCAGCCTCACCCAGTGCTGTGGTCGTGAGCATGAGGATGGTGCCGTTGGTGCTGCCTGCCACAGTGGAAGCCATGATGTGCACTTTATATGTGGTGGAAGGCTTCAGGGGTCTGATGGTGAAGGCCTGGACATCAGAGTCCACGACGGCACCTGAGGAAGCCAGGGCAGGGTCAGCTCCCTCGCTCGTTTGCTGCCGCCCTTGGCCTGGGCATCAGCCCCTAGCAGCCGACACAGCCTGGGCACAGAGCTCTCTGCAGCCTGGCGCGGGCTGGAACAAATCCCACCCTGCTGCAGCCACAGCCCAGCGGAGACCCTGCTGTCTTCCTCTGCCCTTGAGTTTCTGAACTCCGTGCTGCCATGCGGCTCGGCCAGGAGACAATGGCTAGGGCTAAAGACATACATAGGCTGACTGGGGAGACGGGTGTGTGGCCCAGTGCTGCAGAGTGGGGGCTGGAAGCTGGTAGTGCCGGGGCTGGGGGGGGGCAGGACTTACTGGACATGTTGGAAGAGGTGCTGGCCCAGAAGATGGTGTAATTGGTGATGAAGCCATTCTGCAGCTCCGTGGGCACTGGCTGCCAGCTGAGCTCAGCCTGGTACTTGCTGATGCTCCTAAGGTGCAGTTTTGGGGTGTGCGAGGGAGCTGGAGTGGGGGGACAGGCACAGTCAAGGTCAGCTGCAGTCGGAGGCTCCCCCAGGCTGCCCCATGTAGATGCCAGGCAAATGCTGATCGGAGGGTGGGGAGGAGCATGAAGGCCTGAAGGGTGCTGGAGCCCAGGCCCCTTCCCAGTTCAGTGCTGCCTGTGCGCAAGGGGACCCTTAACTCCAGCTGGCCCCAGCGCTTTTGCTCTTCAGCACCTTCCCTACCACTGGGCCAGGCCCCCGGGCTGTGGGGTCTGCCGTTCAGCTGGATTTAACTCTCCGCCTGCTGAATGGGAGGCTGCAGGCTCCACCCCAGAGGTGGCTGCATCCAGGCCGTGCTGCCTGGTATGAACCCTGAGCCGGCAGGGCCGTTTGGGACGGGAGCCCTGGCAGGATACATACCCTTCTGCTGGGAGTAGGTTGCTGTGTGTCGTGGCACCCCCACGGCATCCACGTACAGAGGGTACACAGAGATGTTGTACCGTCGGAAGGGCTCGATGCCATCTACAAGGGAAAGGGACAGTGGGGGCTGTTCGCATGGCAGGGCATTGCTGCCCAGGCCTCTTCCCCACCTGTCCCCAGCAGTGACGGCTGGTGTGCCCAGCACCACGGTTGCTCGGGCCTGGCTCAGCATGTGTCCACCTCCCAGCGTGCACCTGGGACCTGACGCGGCGCTGAGGGGCGGACATCAGGACAGGAGCCCTGTGAGTCCACAGCAAGCCCTGCAGCACATGCGCCCCCACAGCCCCGAGGGAAGGAGCCATGGGGCAGGTGGGTGGAGAACAGAGGGCAGAAGAAGGACCCCCAGCAGCCCAGGCCCAGGCCCAGAGCTGGAGCTCGGAGCTGTGGACGGGGCCAGCCCTGCCTAGCCACTCACCTTGGATCAGGGCCCCGGTTGCACTGTGGTTGTGCTCCACCTGCCAGCCGAGACGGCCACCGGGGTCTGCGGGG